TGCCACCACACCCAGCAAATTTTTGTATTTTTAGTAGTGACGGAGTTTTACCATGTTGGCCAGGCTGGTCTCAAACTCCTAACCTCAAGTGATCCACCCACCTCAGCCTCCCAAAGTGTTGGGATTACCAGCATGAGCAAACACACTCAGCCCCAGATTAATATTTTTCTAAGAAACATAAACACAATTTATTTTGTAAAAAATCTAAATAACATAAAAATGTGAATTCTCACAAAATTATAAATTAAATGCAACTGTAGTTAGAATTCCAAAATTTTATCGGGAATTGGATAAAACTAAAAGCTTATAGAAAGAAAAAAGGCTGGAGAATGGCAGTGGAATAGTAAAGGTATTTATCTCCATATCAGCAAACACCATAAAGCTACTATAAATAACAAGAGTATTGTGTTGACAGAGGAAAAAAACAAATATATCAAAATTCAAAAGTATGTTGAATGTGTTGGGAGGCCAAGGTGGGCAGATCACCTGAGGTCAAGAGTTTAAGATCAGCTGGCCAACATGGTGAAACCCCACCTCTACTAAAAACACAGAAAATTAGCCAGGTGAGGTGGCATATGCCTGTAATTCCAGCTACTCAGGAGACCGAGGCAGGAGAATTGCTTGAATCTGGGATGCAGAGGTTGCAGTGAGCCAAGATCATGCCATTGCACTCCAGCTTGGATAACAAGAGCAAAACTCCATGTCAAAAAATATAATGTATGTTGAATGTTATGCGAGACTTAATATATGATAAAAATGGTACATGCAGAAGCAAACAGATTTTTTTAAATCAATAAACATATCTGACACAACTGACCACCTGGGAGAAAATAAACTTAGAAGGTTATGTCACATTATATACCAAAACACATTCCAGATGGTTAATGATTTAGAAATTTTTTTAAAAAAAAAAAGGTATTCAGATGAAAAATCTAAGTTATTACAGATATCATTGGGATAAGACAAACTTTGAACTAAAACAGGACACTTAAAGCTATAAAACAAAAGTTACACCATTTAACAATTAAAATCCAACAGTCAATAAACATATGGCGCTCAATCTCTGGCAATCATGGAAATGGACACTAAAGTAAAAACTAGATTGCTTATTATCAATGAACTGGCAAAAACGTAGAATAGTTAAATAGTCTATCAGGTAAAACATACTCATACGTTATTGGTGTGAAAGGAAATTGTAATAGCCTTTTCTGAAAGCACAGGCACAGACACATATAAACACATATGCCTTTTTTTTTCATTTATGAGCACCGATTAAGTTATAGAATGATTCAAAGGCTACCTAAGCAGAATGATAGGAGTAATGACTAACTTCTTCTTTTAAACCTTTATTAATGCAATGGAGTAACACTCTTTTAATACAAAAAATGAAAATAAAGAAAAATTTAAAAGTAATAGCACGTATCACAGACTAAAGGAAATGGAGAAGATAGAGCACCGACCATGGAGTTGTAAGGAAATCAAAAAATATTCATCCATTTCACAATTCACAATTCTGTCTAACCTGAACCTGACCTTCACTCTCAAAAAAACACATGTACCATTAGCATTTCTCACTTTTTAAATATATCCAAGCAAATAATGCCCATGGAGATGCCACCAACCTGATCTGCTGGTGACTTCACTTGGTTCTACAATAAACTGCAGAGATGCTTCTTTCTTCCTTGAAGAAACTGGAACTGACTTTGGATGTGATTTCTGGCACAGAGCACAGAAGAAATACAACATTAGAACTATTTTATTAACTTACCATTTCTGATGAAATATATTTGTTTTTAAAATGGGGAGAAAAACAGCATTCTAAAACAACAAGCCAGCTGTTAAGAGTTTTATACTACTTTTTATTTTATTTCTAAAGTAATAGTTACTTTAGAAAGCAATTTGGCATTATTCCGTAAGGCTGAAATTTCATACAACCTATCACAGAAACAATATTGCTCTAAACAGCCAAAAACTATGTGGACAGAAGACTGAATAAACTTACCGAATAAATAAATTGTGGTAAAGATATATCATATTACATATAAAATAGTGAAACAAACTACAATAAAATATATGATCATTTTAATCAGAAAAAAAAGTAAGCTGCAGAAGTACATAACAATCCTATCTATGTAAAGTTCAAAATAGACATGTAAAACACTATAATATTTACAGATTCACTCTTTGCAGGAAAGAGTTAACATATTAGGCCTGATAATTTAAACGGCCAGGTTACAGGGCTATCCCTTGGTTGGCATTCACAGATTTGACTTTTAGAATATTCCCCCCATTACCAACAGACAAGGTTGCACCTGCTGTGCCAGCCTATCTACACTGCTTGTATAAACAATGTGATTTATGGTTAACATCTGCTTTCTCTCCTTCTGGGAGTATGTAAAATTTTGGTAGGCAGAGGGTGCATATGGGACCAACCCCCAGTGAAAACAATCTGAGTTTTAAAAAAGCTTCTCTGAGGAAAAAGTGTATAATATGTTACACATTTAACTGCTGGAGGAAATGAGTACACCCTATATGGCCCCTTGGGGAGCACAGGAAGCCTATACATGGATTCCTCCAGACTCTACCTAATGTAAATTTTTCCCTTACTGACCTAGCTGTGTATACTGACTGAATGACTATAATAAGTATCAGTCATGAGTTCAACTGCATGCCAAGTCTCTCGAGTCCTTCTAGTGAAGCACCAAATGTGGATGGCAGTGGGACCTGTCACAGAGGTCCCCTTCTGCTCTCTGTAGCAGCAGAAATGTGAACACAGTATCAGCACAGATCTACCAGTCGAAAAATAAATAAAAAACAGACTGATATGGTATGGCAGTGTTCCCACCCGAATCTCAACTTGAATTGTATCTCCCAGAATTTCCTTGTGTTGTGGGTGGGGCCCAGGGGGTGATAACTGAATCATGGAGAAACTTATAAAGATTAGTAGAAGTGTAAGACACCTCTAAAAAAAGGTGCAAGCCAGATGCAGTGGCTCACACATGTAATCCCAGCACTTTTGGAGGCCAAGGCAAAAGGATCACTTGACGTCAAGAATTCAAGACCAAGCTGGGAAATTTAGCAAGACCACATCTCTATGCAAAACAAAAAATTAGGCAACAGTGGTGGTGCATGCTTGTGGTCCTACCTACTCAGGAGGCTGAGGTAGAAGGATCACTTGAGCCCAGACGTTTGAGGTTGCAGTGGGCTATGAGCTCGCCACTGCACTCCAGCAATAGAGCAAGACCTTGTCTCAAAAAAAAGAAGGGGCATGCAAACAGAGGGTGTTAAAAGTGTGTATAGTTGAATGTGTCTTTTGTCACAGAAAAGCAAAAAGTGTATATAGAGGTAGGAAAACCAGGTAAGTGCAGTGGCTCACGTCTGTAATCCCAGCACTTTGGGATGCTGAGGGGAGGCAGATCACCTGAGGTCAGGAGTTTGAGGTCAGTCTGACCAATACAGTGAAACTCCACCTCTACTAAAAATACAAAAGTTAGCCGGGAGTGGTGGCAGGTACCTGTAGTCCCAGGTACTCAGGAGGCTGAGACAGGAGAATTGCTTGAAACTGGGAGGTGGAGGTTGCAGTGAGCCGGGATTGTGCCACTGCACTCCAGCCTAGGCAGCAAAGCGAGACTCCATATCAAAAAAAACAAAAAAAAAGAAGGTAGTAAAACCAAAGAGCCCCTCCTAAACCCATCAGAAGATTAGATATTTACTCTCTTGAGTTTCTGAAACATAAAGACTGTGAAATTAGTGGCAGAAGACACAGGTGAAGTTAAGGGCAATACATGAAAGCCAGAGATATTAAGTAGGAGCATTCAAACTGCACTTTCCCCTTTGCAACATGTGACTAAAATTGAAAACAATCTCCGTTAGAATCGAATCGCCAAGCGAGAGAGGTATCTTTGCCTGAAATACTTACCAGGCAGAGAGAAAAGAAATCTACAGATGTTAACACCTGGGTATCAACAATGAAATGGAGTAAACGACACCAGTGAAATCTACCAGTCTACAAATTTTACCAGGCATACGGAGCTCCCCATGTGTTTTAGTTTCCCACTTTCAAACGAGAGGAGACAGCTAAGGATCATTAGACACAAGAAAAAAGGCCAGGTAATGGGCAAAGTAAGTAAAAAAGGTACTTGTAGAAAACAGAAATTGTAAGAAGAAATATTTATGAAAAGGGTTAGATGAACCTAACATCAAAAAATATAATAAAAATTTAGATCACTAAAGACAGATGACAATATTCTAAAAGCCTGCAAAGAGGAAAAAACATTCACAAAGGATCAAGGACTCAAAACAGTATTCTCAAGAGGAGGAGCTAAAATAAAAGAAAGCAACATTTTTAAAAGTCTAAGGAAAAATATGCCTGACTAAAACAGATGCTTCATATGAAAAAATATGTTACTTTAATTAAAGGAAAATAATTTCAAATAGAATTCTATACTCACCCAAATTACTCATCCTGAGGGTAAAACCATGATATTTTTAAACATTTAAGGTCTTAAATTCTCAGAAAGCTATTAAATGATGAGTTCCACCAAAAAAGGAGAGGCCAAGAAAAAAGGAAGATTTAAGATCCAAGAAACATGAGATGCAATTCAGGAGAAAAGCAAAGGGACTCCCTGTGATACAGGAAGAGTACATGACAAAACCTATTTGATAGCTCTAAGGATAGATAGAAGAAAAAAAAAGAGCAGAGACAGTTTCAGGAAAAGCTGAAAATGATAAATTACTTAACGGGTCTACTATACTAAGACATTTATACTTAAACTTTTGTCACAGAAAACTGGCGATGAATTAGTCATAGGTGCACAGAAAGTCAAAAATGGAAAAACCAAGATTAAATCAGGAGAAAACTAAGAGCTATACATAAAGAAAATTTAACCATTAGTACTTTACATAGCTGTGACTACTGAAACAGTTGTAAAAATACTGTGAACAGTAAATACTAATCCTACTGAAAATTAATATGATGTACTAAAAAATGGAAGTTTATGTGTTGTGGTGCAAACTAGCAACTATATGACAAATAGTCTAAACTTCCATAGTAGAAAACCAGTAAGTAATAGCAAAGACTGAAACAAATCAGGAAACTGTCATATAAACATTATTTTGAAATATGGAGTCGAAATATCCAGAAGAAATAACTAAGACTAAGAAGTTGGACTTGGAGGAGGAAGAGTGGGCTTTACTGTTTTTTTGGGTTTTTTTTGTGGAAGTCATGGAACTATTTTAACTTCTATGTACATAATGCCTTTGAGCTTAAAAATAATTCTTCCAAAACATTAAGAAGAAAATTATTTTAAAAGATAGGGAAGAGGGCCAGGCGCAGTGGTTCACGCCTGTAATCCCAGCACTTTAGTAGGTGGAGGCAGGCAGATCACAAGGTCAGGAGATCGAGACCATCCTGTCTAACATGGTCAAACCCCGTCTCTACTAAAAATACAAAAATCATCCAGGCATGGTGGCACGCACCTGTCGTCTCAGCTACTTGGGAGGCTGAGGCAGGAGAATCGCTTGAACCTAAAAGGCAGTGGCTGCAGTGAGCTGAGATCAAGCCACTGCACCCTGGCCTGGGACACA